AAGTTAAGGGAAAAAAAAAATCAAACTAAGCCCAAAGAAATTAGAAAGAAGAAAGTCAGATATTAATGAAATTACAAACACTCACATAACAGAGAGAATCAGAAATTTTTCAAAAAAATTTTTGAGAAGGCTAATAAAATTAACTTTCATCAAGACTGATCGAGAAAAGTGGAGAAAGTACAAATAACCAATTTTAGAAATGAGAAAGAGGAAATCACTTCAAACTTTAAAAAGAGAATGAACTCCATAATGAACAGCATAAACATTTTTATGCCAATAAATTTGAAATTTTTGATGAATTAGACATCGTTGAGCGAAAAAGGCATACACATGCACTAGAAGAAATAGAAAATCTGAATTGTTCTACGTCTGTTAGAGAAATTAAATCTATAGTACACATTTTTCCCACAAAGAAAACTCCAGGCTCAAATGACTTTCCTGATGAAATTCTACCAAACATTTCAGGAAAAATAATGCCAAACTTACACAAATTCTTTCAGAGGATTAACAATAAAAGGGAAGAAATATTTTCCAGTTCATGTCATAAGGCCAACATAATTTTGGTAACAACACCTTTCAGAGGAATTATGATAAAGAAAATCACACACCTGTCCTCTAATATAGTATCTGAAGATCAACCCATTTCAGTGCTTTAGTTCTTCTTCGTAACTTCAAGAGTGCTGCCTCCAGGGACGTAATGGATACAGACTAAGACCAGACGGAAGTCAATTTATCTAAGGCTTTGGATACTAAATATATTCTTCTGGCCTTTGCCTCATCCCAGACTAAGATGGGACCTTAGTACTAGGTCCGGGTCTTAAATCCTGAATGTAGGTAGGATTGATTGGTAAAGATAGGAAGAAGAGCCTCTAGAGAGAAAATAAAAGCCAAGACATAAAGAGGGGGTGACACGAGACATGCTGGGGAATAATAGTCCATTTCCTACCTTTTCTTTGCACTACACAGAAAGGTTCAGCAAGAGAAAGGCCAAAAACTGAGACTAGGGATGGATTCTTTGACTTCTTGAATAGTCAGGCTGAGGAAATGGGAACTGAAGGTTTTTGAGAAAGTGGTGGCCATACTTACAGGTATGCTTTAGGAAGAATAACCTGGCAACAGTGTGTAGGGGCTAGAGATTGGTGATAGAGAGACTAGACAGAGTCCAACTGAGGAAGAATGAGGCCTGAAACTAAGAAATCAGTGGATTAGTCATGGATGGAGTTTCCTTATTTGTGGGGCTTGTGAACTAATTGACTCTTTCTCTTCTCCATAAAATCAATGAATTCTTTGAGTCTCCCATCCTGAATGACATGGTGTCATTAACAGGAATAGGAAAGTTGAGAGAAGAGGAAATTTGAGGAAGCGTAGAGACATGAGGTGAATATGAGAAGGTCCCAATCAAATGGAATAGAGTATAGCAGGGGCTTGATGTAGCTCTAGAATCAACCAGTAATTTGGGCCCTCTACATCTAGGAATCCAGGATTTGTGTCCCTCTTTAACCACTAAATCTCCTATTTATTCTCTGGATATTGATGTTTAAGAGTACAAATTAGTTTATTCATTCAAAATCACTCAGTGGATAACTTTTGTGTTTCAAGCACTTTGCAGGGGCTTGTCAAAAATATATAAAAGCTACACTGCACATAAGTAGTTTCTGAAATATATGTTTTTATTAATAAAATTTACTTTCTTGTGGGTTGTTTAAAATACTAAAGAAATATAAGCTTAGACTTTTGAAATGTCAAGATTAATTAATTTTATTTATTTTTGTCTTATTCAGCTAAATTAAATGAAGAAAAAAATAAAGAATTGGTAGAGAAAAAGGAGGTGGAAGTGTCAGAGTTATATGCAAAGTTAAGAACTCAAGAAATGGAAAAACAAAATGAAATAATCAAACTACAGCTAGAGGTAAGAGTTTAAGTCTCTGCTGAATTTCAGTATGCGTACCTTAGTCTAGACCACACTTTGCTTATTTTTCATCACAGTGAGATAAATTTAAGGAATAGAAACAACCCCATGAGAGGGCTTTACACACGCTCATTCTCCATCACATGCAATGCTCAAACCCCGTACAACTGTTAGCCACATTACCTTTAAGCACTTGGCCTGAAGGTGGGACTCTTCAGTCGTTCAAAAGATCCCAGCTTCTACAGAGGGTATTGTTTCCTCTGAGAGTGGGGACAGATAACTCAAGGATTACCTGCATTTTACAGCTGAGTCTATGCAGGCATAGGACTACCATTCCAGCAGTGGAGAGTGTTCCTAATCTTTAACATTACTTTCTACTCAGCAGAAATTGTGGAACCCTGAAGAACCAACTAGAAATTCCTTTTGCTTTATTTGGGATAAAAAGAGACAAATTCTCTCTAATAAATAAGTCCAAAAATACATATCATAGGGGTAGACAAACTAGATTTTTAAAAAAGCTTTAAAGGGACTTCAAATAGGACTAATGTTCCAGTTTTTAGCTTGAAAGTCTTTTCAGTAGGTTGTTTAACCTGGTGTCAGAATCTCAAAGATATTCATATTTTGACAACATATTTGTCCTTTAAAATTTTTTCTATATTCTACCAAGCTCCTTTCTATCATTCTTTCCTTGCTTTCCCCTAGCCTAACTCCTACTTTACCTTCTGTTGTCAGAATTCACTGGCTTAGTTAAGATAACTTACTATTTGTGTTCCTGAAAGTTTGGTATCCCTGGGGTGCTTGGTGAGGTACAGTGTTGAAGACTATGCAATCATTGAGCAAAAGGAGACTGATGTTGACTTGAGAGGCTCTTTGCTGCTGCTCATGCCTTCTGGTCAAGTGTACCCACAAACCACAGAGAGGGCTGGATGGCCAACTGAGGTACGGTAGGTTGTATTTCAAGCTCTACCATCAACTGCTAATCAATTGACTGGGAATGTGCATTTTGTTTGCCATCCAGGCCCTGTCAGTGGTCTAGCCCAAGTCTGTTGTTTGACTGATATACAAAACACTTTTTGTTATTATTCTTCATTGTAACTATCCATTTTTCTCCCCAAACCAGAACACAATCTCACAGAGAGTTTATTTTTAGTCCACAGAGAAGCTACATGAAATTTAAACTGAAGGAAAGAATTATAAAGGAAGATTTTGCAAAAAATATGGTCTGTAAGAATGGCCTATGAGAATTTTTTTAACCTGATTCAGTTTAATGTCAAACCAACAAGAATTCAACAAAATCATATTCAAATTTTGCTATTCAGCCTCAAAGTTTCTGCAGAAGGGTATATGAGTTTTTCTGCCACAACTGCTGGTTACACTACATTTTCGTTGCAAAAGCACACTCATAGTAATGTGAAAATATTTTTATCTATCTTTAAGTTAACTAGATTCTCAACCCTGGTTAACTAGATACTTAGCCCTGCATGATAGCATCACCTGATGTCTTGAAAAAAAGATGATGCTGACCCCACCAGAATCTCTAACATAGTCCCCATGTATTTGGTACTTTTAAAAAGCTCCCCAGGTAATTTTAACATGCAGCCAGAATTAATCTTATTTGGGTGTTCTTTGTTCTTTCTTAAAAATTGTTTCTTAAAGAAAGACTTTCCTATCTTCTGTTACACAGAGAATACACTTAAATTCCAGATTGTATGTCAAAGTATATAATGGATTATACTTATATTTATAGAAACCGTTGTTTCTGTTCAACTAGAACATTCTCAATAACTTTCTTTTTAAACTTGATTCAGTTTGATGCCAAACTAGCAAGAGTTCAAACAAAATCAAAATCATATCCAGATTCTACTATTTTGCCACAGAGTATCTACAGAAGGGTATGTGAGTTTTTCTTCCATGGCTACTGCTTAAGAAAATAAATTTTCTTAATGTGTTTCTATAAAAGTTATCTAATATTTACTAACAATATGCTTCGTTTTTCTTAAAATATATCACACAATCAGAAATTTTGAATAATCTTTATAAGTCACTTTCAATTTAAACTAATAAATCTTAGGAGTAAATTAAAACATTAGAGAAGTCCTCTGACTCTGTGGGCCATCTAAGGAATTCCATAATATATTTTGAACTAAGGCTGACTTACTATTCTGAAGTTATTTAGGCACTCAGTAGATTTCTTTTGGTTCAACTCCTTTACTTATGGTTTATAACCTTGAGCTATATAGAGAGAAGGGAACTAAAACAAATGATGCTAGTGTGTGTTTCTACATCCTTACACCAATTTTATCCGATTAAGTCCCACAAAAATAAAACTATAGACCTTTCAAAATAAGGTATCTTTTTTAATACCTACTTCTACTTGAACCAGAAGCATAGGGTTTTGTTTTTTGTTTTTTGGGTGAGGAAGAGTCACCCTGAGTTAACATCCGTTAGCAATCTTACCTTTTTTTTTTTCCTTTAAGAAGATTAGCCTTGAGCTAACATCTGTGCCCATCTTCCTCTATTTTGTATGTGGGATGCCTCCACAGCATGGCTGATAAGTGGAGTAGGTCCACGCCCAGGATCTGAACCTGAGAACCCCGGGCCACTGAAGCGGAGTGCGCAGAAGTCGAACCACTAGGACATGGGCCAGCCTCTAGAAGCATTGTTTTTGTTATTTTTTTGTTGTTCCATGTACTTAATCTTATTTCTGAATTGCAATAACAAATATTTTCTCCTTCATTTAGAAGCTTCAACATCTTCAAGAAGAAAAAAACAAGGAGATTGCAATTCTTCGTAATACCATTCGCAATTTAGAGCAACGCCTCTCTGCTGGCAAAGATTCTCACCTTAAGCGTAGACGGTTTTGAGTATAGCAGTAATTTCTTTAGTTGCTATTTAATTTCTTTAAAAGCAGTTGAAAAATTCACTTCTATTGTCAAGGTAACATACTGCCTAAATAACAATGAAAAAATGAAATGAAAACAATGAAATGAAAGACAGCTTTAAACTTTTTTTGTTGAGTTTATTTGTGCATTCTTGCTTAAACCATAAAGGAGTTATGAAAAAAAGACAACTTTGATGAAACAATGAAAAAAAGACAGGTTTAAGCTTTTTTTATTGAGTTTATTTAAACAAATCCACACTTTGGCCAATTGTATACTGCATTCTTGCTTAATAGTATTAACCATAAAAAAGTTCAGGTTTATAGGATTTAGTTTACCTATTGAACCATCATTGACTCTGGAAATACTCTCTAAGCAATCAAGAGATAGACAACATTCTTTTATCTTTCCCCTTATATCTTTCAAGAGGCAATCTCAAATTTCAAAGTGCGATACAATGCTAAATAAAGAAAACAAGATATAAAGATTTCTTTCATATGTGATAGTAAAAATCAAGATATGAGTCTTAGATATAAAAAATGTATAAAATGGATATTTAAAACGTAGACATGGAAAAATATTCATGTGTAAGTATTTCTGGATCTTAAAAGACAGTATTCACTTTTTTCTTTAAAGGTTTAATCAGTTAAAAATGTAAAATTAAAAAGACAAAGATAACATTGTTTTTAGAAATAAGTAAAGAAAAAATGGAAAACATGTCTTTGTTGTTCTTCCTCTGTTCTAAATTGCTAAGTATCCAACAGAAACCCCTAGGTCATAGTTTACGTTTCTGTTCTCATTAATGCAAGTAGAATGCTGGAAAAAGAAAAAGAAAGACATATTAACCAAATGCTGCAATCACCTGTCAGTTGCCCTGTAATAAAAATATGGTTTGGGTCAAAATTTCTTTGACATAAATTTTAAAATTTGGAAGCCAATATAGTAGATTTCTCCATGTTTGCACAAATCCAATTTCTATTTTTGTATCACTATTAATTAGGTAGCTTATAAAAATGCTGGAAAAGAAATTGTATCTAGACTGACTTGGGGAGTATATCCTATTTTAAATATTTAGTTTGAAGGTCATTTTCACATTTCTGCCTTATTTTTTCAGCGTCAATTGGTGCTGGCTTCTGTGGGTTTGAGCTGCTGACTTGGCTGTCAGGCAGCTGGAGGCAAACGTCACTGTCAAGATTCAATGACATTCTCCTCTGCCCAACGTCCCTGTCAGCTACATAAAGAGGGGAGGTTTTCTTTACACTGTCAGGTGATTGCAGACCCTGTTTTTTCAAATATCAGATGTCGACAATGTCAGCATCAGCTACTAGGGGCCAATTCTGAATCTTTGGGCAACTTGCAGAGTAACTGATTTATACACCTCTTTCGTCAGAGCTTATTTTGTGGAAGAGAAAGTTGTAAACTTTCCCTTCCTGGCATGTCTCAGTTCTCTGGGTGATCCTGTCTTTGTTGGCCCTTGTGCTTATGGTGGTGATGAAGGCCTAGAGGAGGGGGATGCTCAGGAGCATCTGGTGCTTCTGGTTGCTGATTCTCTGAAAGCTGACTGTTCCCAACATGCTGGTGCCCATGCTTGTGATGATGATGCTGGTGATGGTGATGTGGCTGCGAATCCTCAGTTGTTGTATCCACAGTAGCCAAAGCTATAGTTTTACAGAAGTCTTCATCTTCCAGTGTCTGGAAGAAATTTATAAGTCATTTATCAACAAAATTATAGATTTAGCAGGAATGCATGAAAAATGATTTGTAGAGCTAACATATAGGAAATTCAAACCAGTTAATTAGGATTAAACTGGCTTTGTTTTTCTAGTATCATATTAACGAGAAAAAAAAATTTGATGTCAATCTCAACCCCTAGACTTTTTATTAAAATTTGGTTCCCATCCATATAAAATTATAAAATGCTTCTTTTTGTGCGAACTTTGCATTTAATCAAAGAATTCTCAAGCATCTTACAAAGGAATTAATATTAATGTTTTGAAAATAGATAAAATAGGGTGTTACACGTATAAAGTTCAACAGTTCACCTAAGCTTCTATACTGGTTAAATCAACAGCAGAATTCATATTTTCCTTTTCTTATCAAGAGCATTTCCTAAATTTTTAAGAATTCTAAAGAATTTGAGAGATACATAAGGCTTCAAAAGGAAGCCAAACCACTGTATTATATCTGCAGAAGCAAAGCTAAATAAACTGGCTAAAAGAACTTAGATTGCAGTATAGTCAAGCAAATATCAAATCCTAAAATCAGTTGACCTACATGGAACCTTTCACTCCTGTGTCAACAGTGCATCGAATCTAGTATTATATTCAGAAACAAAATAATTTCTCTCTGATAATTCAAAAATGCCAATAAACTCTGCTCAAAATCAGTAATTTTTCAAACCTCAGCTTATGCCTGGAAATGTTTTGAACTTCACCAAAGTTTTGTTAATGTATCCATGCTGTAGTCCTGTCAGCTGAAAGTAGCAAATAACTGCCCATTTTTCATTGAGCATAATATTCCATTCTGCATGAATCTAGTTCTTTAATTTGTTGCAAGTCTTTCTCTATTGTTTTGTGTGCCCAGAAATCATGGGCTCAAAGCTTATAGATATAGCAATGTAGTATTAAACTACAACCCACAGTTATTTGTAAATAAAGTTGCAAAATCAACTTGAGAGACCAAAGATTCACTAAGTGGTGTGGTCAGGTATTTTAAAAGTTTTGAAAGGTTATAACTTCCATTGGATTTTAACATACAACTACTTAGTAGTACATTTTTTTTGGTTATTTCTGAATTACTTTTAAGAATCTAATAATATTTTATTAAAAACAAACAATTTGATAAATTTTAAAATATACTGTGTAATGTTCTAAATATTCAGTGACTGAACAAACACAAATAACTATTATAGTAGTCTGATTAGTTTTAAAAAATCAATGACTATATTTCACTGATTCTACAATGTATTTTTTTCACATTTTAATATCTTTAAAATCAGAATTTAATAGTACATACCATAATGTGTCATGTAATTGATGGCATCTAGGATACAGTGAAATAGAAAAACTCCAATTTGATTTGGCATATCAGATATATATGGTATATTATTCTTATTTACAAATGGTTAGTAAATTTTAAGCATGTCATGGGAATTGTGTCTGCTTTTGTTTCAATATAACTAGGTATATTTATAACATTAGGCATTTGCACAAATGCAAAATACTGAAATAATCCCAACATATGAAAAATTAATACGGCTAGCATTTATTAAGCACTTAGTGTCAGTTAGACATTGAGTTAGCACTTTGTTTGCATTATCCCAGTTTCCTCATTTTAAAAGCAGTAAAATAACCCTCATAGGATTATTATGAAGATTAAAATGTGAAAAAAATGACATAACTAGAGTAATTAACCTGTTATGCTCCTTAACAACTAAATTAATTAAATGATTCATTAAAATTTGAGATGACTTTCTTTAGATCTGGGAACAATCTGAAGGAAGTACAGCTCAAAAATAAAATTCAGAATTGCTTTTAGACCTGAGTTCAAAATTTGCCAATTTTCTATATCAAGGAAACATTGTTTGGAATTATTTTACTCCTCAATATGAGAGGAAAAAAAATCTAGTTAATACAAATTAAAACAATTCCTTAAGTATCTTTTTAATAAACAATATTTAAATATAATGCTTCTCATAACAAAGAATATTCTCATGGTCGTTAGGAAAGAAATATCAGTAACGAGTAGAAAACTTATTCCACTGCAGAGGAAATGCAGTAATTCCAACCGCAGAATGGGCAGACAGTGTAAGGGCTTCGCGGAAAAGCTGACAGTCTTGCACCCTTGATAAATTAAGTAGTTATCTGGGCCCCAATTCCATTTCACGTAATGCCATGGATAAGCTCTGCTATCACTATGCTGTTGTGTGAACACATTGAGGATATTAGAATAATGTTATTTTATGTTGGCTGAATTCTTTGAGGACTTATACTCATGCAACATCATTTGGTGGTAATTGAAATATGTGATCTACGTTGATTCTTATTTTCTAAATCTTCTAGATAAAAGTGGCAATATAGATCTTGAAAAGACATTTTAAAGAATACATTAGGTAATAGGAAGTATATATCATTATAAAAATTACTGTTCTAGTTCATTTTTAGTACACCAACAGAAACATTGATTAGCTAATTGGTTATGCAACACTAACTTATTTAGATAGCTCTTAAAAGATTTCCTCTTTCCTTGCAGTAAAAATAATTGAGAAAAATACCGTGAGAGAGCACTTTCCACATTTCTTTTCACAGTAAGCACTCTTAATGGCTTCTTCTACATATGGGAAAGTTAGGAAGGAGTAAGGCAAACCAAGATGATATACAAGACGGCCACATCTAAAAAAAAGGACACAGACAATATCATTACGATATTTTCTCTATCGTGATCCTACTCAAGTACAGTCTGGGATAGGTGTTATAGGTTTAATGGTCTTATAACTGAGACCCTTTCATACCTTCAGTAAATTTCCTTGAATGGGGTCTCAAACAAGCTCCCCAGCACTGCATACCAGGTCAGGTCATGGCAAGACTACAGTGAGTCTAATACTACCATTTTGAAATGTTATAGATATGTCACTATAAATAATATGAAAACTGTGTAGCACAGTCATTGTGATTTGGTGAAATACAATTCTGTAATTGACTTACAAATTCTACCAATGCCCAAACTACTGACTTATCATAAACTAGGCTCTGCAAATCACATGAGCTTTTCATAACTGCTAAGGCAGCACAAATTCCACACAACAAGAAATCACAGCATAACAAAAAGATCCTCATGTCTTGGCCAGTAGCCCATTTATTTAAAAATATATCTGATGCAACAAAAATTTCAGCACAATGAAAGAAATGGAATTATCACACTTGGCATTCTCAGAAATGGTGGAATTGAAATGTCCTCCTTGCCCACATTTTACCCAGTACGTACAATTTTATGTGAATATCAAAGGGTTACTCTTTGCAACTGACTAAATTAGAAGTTTGCAGTCGTAAAAGAATGACATGTAATCTTAAAAATACTTAGGGTAAGACCAAGTAGGGCTTAGGCCTAGGCAGAGCCAAAAGAAAACAGAGCATCACTTTTCTTTTCTCTGAAAAGCCAAAAGAAAACAGTAACAACCATGAATGTTGGTAATATCAAATAACGTATGCACTGAGGTCCCCTCAAAATACGAATGTTTTATTCATTCATGGAATCACAAGCAGATTTGTGCCAATTGTACCTAAATGATTAGCCTACTTTATAGTTCAGAAATTCAAGTATGTAGCTCTAAAATTATTAATCAGATTAGTGTGGTTATTCATCTGCAAAGTTCTTAGGTTAGAATTGTATGTGATATACAAACTGATCCTTTTTTTGTTTAATCAGAATGCCAATTTAGAGGGGGAGAAAAAATACAGTCAATTTTCATTTCCCTACTGGAATCGTGAATTCTTTTGTGTGAAAGAAAGTCACTTTAAAAATACTAAAACCAAATATTTTAATGGGCCCACTGTGGAACTGAGTATTTGGTAATAAAGCAAAAACAGATGTCTTATGTTAAAACACTTAATATTAAATTAAATACAAAGCAGGTATCTTTTAATTTGGAGTGTGTGTGTGTGTGCATGTGTACACACCTGTCATATACGAGGAAGTCATCTTTGTCTCCATTTAAGAGAGTCCAGACATCTGTTTGGTTTTCTTCTTGTTGATAAACAGGAATATACTCTGAAACCTTATTTTTAAGATGTATGTATTTTAATTGAGAAGAGATTCCTTGATGATTAACAACAACATAGGAGATGTTAGAATATCCTTCTTTCTCCAGTTTTACTCTCAGGTCTTCCAATCTAAAATATTTTCGAAAAATACCAAAAAAAAAGGAATAATCTCATTTAATTTTATTAGTGACTTCTCTCTTTCTTCTCACTCCCCACTTTTTTCTACATGAAACTCTCTTACCATTTTTTCTTACTTGTACCTCTTCTTTATATTGTTGTAAAAGACAAAAGCTTCCATTTTTTAAGCATTTACTGAGCACTTGTGCTCAGTTAAAACCTTATGCTAAAGGCTTGCACAAACATTAGCTCATTTAGTCCTCAAATTAATCCTATGAAGTGTATATTTTTTTAATCTATCCTACACTTACAGAGAATTCTACCCAATAAATATTTGGCAAATAACCCAACAAATATTTATTTATATAAATATATATATATACACACGCATACATACACATTTGTTAAATGACCCAAGATCTTTGGTGGCAAGTCTAGTGTTCATTCTACTCTGGCAAAGCACTCCTCCTTTGCTTCCTGTATTGAAATAACTAATTCATTTGCAGGAGTACATTTTAGAACATTTTCATTGCACAATACACATTTAGTAGGATATTATAAAATATAGGTTCACAAAAAGAAGAAAAAATTTCCATAACCCTAGGAAAACCACTGTAAACATTTTTGGTGTATATCCTCCTAGTCTTCTTTCTTTTCACATGTTCTAGGCAAACATATATAGTTTTTCCAAAATTGTGATTTAATAAATACATCTTTTCTATTTTTATTTGATGTATGTATATATTTAATAGCTTTCCCTTTAAGAAATCCTAGACTGCAGAAAGACTATCTTACCTAGATGCCTGCAGAATGCACAGGTATCAGCTGGCTTGAAGAAGAGCAACCACAATCACTGAACCATAGGAGTTCAGCATTGGATCTTGATCCCTTATGTTCCAGGCTGGAGGTTTCTTACAAAAGGAGCTTTCCCCCTGGCTCTCTGTTCCTCCCCATGGAAGGAGACAGAGAGCCAGGGCAAGCCCCAGGCTTCTCCACATTGCTGGGGTTGTCCTATAAAAGAGAAAACCTTTTTGTCATCTTCACAGATGACTTCACAGTCATAACCACGAATTTCTATCAATCCACCAGGTATCATTCCACTTCCTATAAATACCAAGCCCCTGGAATCTGTCTCTATGTTGTTGGGCTCATTATGTTGGCCTCCCTGCACCAAATCTTTCTATAAAAGCGAAAAGATACGCCATAGGAAGGGGAGTTGTCAAAACACCACTTAACTGTCTGGTTTACAAAGATACTTTAGTAAGCATGCTATGGAGATTTGCCTGAACAGGCAACCAAGTACTTCTCTAGGAAAAGACTCATGTTTAGAAAAATTTTGAGACTGTGGTGTCTATAACCAAGTAACATTCTGCAAACACAATCTGATTTTTATTTGAGGCACACCAACTTCTGCCTGCTGCTTTCCATTCTCTACCAATCTAAAAAAGGAAGGGGTAAGTAAGGGATTCTGCACAGAAATGAAAAAGAGCCAGCATGGAAAGAGAACCCAGGAAGAAAGGAGGTGGCACTGAGGCAGTCTACCAACATGAAGGTGGCTCCTGCTGGGCCCTTAGCTCTTCAGGTTCAAACCTTCTATATTTAAAAATCTCTTAGGTATGGCTCCCTTTTGTTCCTCTTGTTCTTTAAAGTCTAGCTGTATGTTAATATTAAAGGATTTGAATCTCTTCAGCTATAAAACTGGCTGCCAAAATGTTACTACCATATCCAAGATAAATATGGACTAAGGGAGAAAATCTGACCAAGGAGAAATGTCACAAATGGCTGCCCCCTGTACCATTTAAGACTCACTGAAATCTACATTTAGTCTAATCAGCTACCACTAGTTTCAAGAAGTTCCTGTGACTCAGTGGCATATTTTTGGGTAAACACCTGCCCCCTCTAAGTAGGAAGGTTAACGATTTGGTCAGAAATATTCTCCAAATTAGGGCTAGCTCTCTCAGCAGAGAGGTACAAATAAAACAGGAGTATTTGTAGAGAGGTGGCAAAAAAAAGGAACACATTCAGCAGAGATGAGCAGAGAAAGAAAAAGCCACATGGGTAATCAGGCTTATTTTGATGTAAGAATCTGTGGAGAGAGATCAGGACAAAATTCCATAACTAGAAAGTTGGCACATTTTCAGGCACTGATCTGGAATAAAAATGTAAAAGCACTTTTGGGGACAGGGATGTGGGCGTAGAGAGGGGCAGCTAACGATAAGTGACTAGAGTGAGCCCAGAATTAAGAGGGGAGTGGAAAGGCTAAAATCAGGATGATTTGGGTTCTGATGCACTGGTAAATGCAGACAGAACTTAGAAAACTCTGATTATCTTTCACATTACTTAACACCACAAAATTTCTGCATATATAGAATATCTTGATAAGAGCCTAACTAAAGGAATAGAAAAAAATAGAGAGTGAGAAAGAGAGTTTAAAAGAGGATAAATTAAATGATTTATTAAGGCCGTCCCAATCATCCTAGTATTTTTAAAATTTTAATATTTAAAAAAAGGAGAGGCTATATCTGGACTAAATCTAGGGAATTTCTTTAGAATAGTATTTATATTGATGATATAATTATCCTTGTCATAGCTACCATTTATTGAGCATTTATAGAACTATATGCAGGTGGGGCTAAGCACTTTTACATATCACGTCAGTTAATCCTTACAACTATGTGACCATTATCCCCTTTTGCAGGGGAGGAAACTGTGGCTAGGAGAGAGTTTAGGCATCTTGCCCAGGTCCACACAGGTAGTAAGTAACAATAGAGAATGGATTCAAACCAGTTCTGCTAGATCCAAACATGACCTCTTAGCTACTGCAGTATATTGACAGTTTTTAGATGAGTCACCTTTAATAACTACAGCAGCCAGGGTTTTGTTTGTTTGTTTACGCCTTAGGATGGCAAAGAGAACACCAAAATTATTCAATCTGTTTTTTTTCTTACTAGAATGGGTAGATTTTCCCTACTTTCTAGAATATAAATTCAGTAGTTATAGAACTTTCAGCATAAATTCAGGACTTTGCACCCTCCCTTTGCCATACAGCACACCATTCCAACTATGTAGTGACTATATGTGGCTAAGTAGTGACTATAAATGAAAAGACTATTTCACTCATTTCTCTCATTCAGTTTTTGATGAAAAAATAACTAAAGCCATTGGCAGGGGGTAGTGGATTACAGAGTTCACACTCTCAGATTTTCCTCTGCCACTAAAATCAATAGGCTGTTTAACTTTGTTTTCTTAAGATCATTTTTTACATAATAAACTTTGGACTTTATAGCTGTCAGACAACCGTATAAAAATAATGAAGATAACAAAATTGGATTTACTGGAAACTGATCCAATAACAATTAAAAAGTAAATTTCAATAATCTCACCACTCTTCAGTCACAAAACCTAGATTTGTTGGCCATATACAGACTTACATTTGTTTAAAATTCTCCATTAGAAGGCAGGATATGCATAAACTTTTTCCACCCTCTTCCCCTGAAATTCAGACGGGCATCTAAGGGTCCTCCCTCATTCACCTGAAACACCCACTCACCACCTAAACTGCAAAACTTTACATTTAATCGCAAGGAATATCCCTGGACATTTCTACAGCACTGTAGACTGGCCATATTTCAGTCTCTGCTCTTCAAATCCATGGGCTGTTTTTTCCCTTAGAGTTCTCACTCTGCATTCCAGTGGGAAATATTTAAGCTTGAACATACAATATTGCCTATACAACATCACAACCTTTTGCAGAGTAGAAGTGTTCGATTTCTCCAGCCTCCCCTGCTCCCATCTTCATTCTCAGCTGTGCAGAAGGCAGGGCAGAAATCAACAAAAACTATAAACGTGCCACTGCAGAACTTTACTCACCACACCCAACTTTAGACTCTTGTTCTCTTTCTTTCGTATTATTTTTATTTTCTTTACCCATCTCTTTTTTAAAAGTCTATTCTAAGGAGAAACATTTTATGACTCAAAATTAAATTACCTACCAAACTCTAAAAGAATCAAGTATTGGAAAACACCAAGTTCCTACTTACACAACCCCCTCACAAGGCTGTTTCCTTTCTCCTTGCTCAGCTCGCAGCTCCACAAAGCCGCAGTGAGAAACTCTGATATTTATAGTCCTGTTGTTTACCTCACCCCTCAGCTATCGTCCAAAGTTCAGTGCCCACTCTGGCTGTGACCTTGAAAGCAGAGCAAACCCCTGAACTGCTTATTATAATCAAAATAAAAGAAAGCAGCAAGTGCTGCCATGCATAAAACGGAGGAAAAGTTTTTGGCAATTATTGATTTATTCCCTATCCTTTTTAGTCACCCCAGTATCTAGGATTAAATGGTACAGTCGGGGGCGGGGGGAAGGGCTAAGGATAAAGAGGGCCTCCAAGTCATGCTCTTTTCCAAACCCTAATAAGGAAAAACATTTGCTGAGCCAGCAAGTTAAGCTGCCGCTTTAAAAAAGAAAAAAAATTTTTTTTTTCCTCTTGCTTTGTAGTGGCCAGGTGCTAGCCTAACCCAAACTGTGAGCTGCGTTAGAAAAGTCACCTGCTGTTTCAAGTCTTTCCAGTCTCCTGCTGTTACAGACCTGCTTGAATTGTTTTGCTGTTTAAAACTTGAATCTGCGTGGGATTTCACGGGAGCTCTGTTCTTTTCTTTTTCGAGGACAGGAATAAGAAAATAGGCCTCCTATCTGAGGGTAACCGGGCCTCATTTTCATTATCACAGAAGTCCTACTTCGTGGAAGACCTATGTATCCCACAGAAATTTTTAACAATCCGGTGTAAAATCTTTACAAATGTAAGTAGCATTCAAATGAAAGTTTGTAGTGCTAGTAGTTGGACAGAGAAAAGGTTTCCAAATTTCAAAATGTACAAATAAAATAGAAAATTTCTACTCTGAGAAAGTGGTAAATTCTTTTCACTAACTGCTACAAGTGAGCATGCCTGTGGTGGGTAAGGTGAGCAGCAATGTCAAACGATGGCATCTCTGGGGAGGGATGGTTTTCAAATAAGTCTTGCTTTCATCACTGATGCATTTCGTCCAAACAAACCCTGTTGATTGCTATGTGCTGGGTACTGTTCTACCAGGTACAGGAAGTACTAAGAGGCTCAGATGTTACCCTTCCTGTAAAGAAACTTATCATCAAAGTAGAAACTTGACATTTGAAAACCAAATTCTGTTTAGTCACACTAAGCAGTAAGTATTAAACCTTTTTAGATCCCAGATCTCTTTGAGAATCCTGTTAAATGCTTCATTTCTTCCCAGGGGGAAAAAATGCACCTATACATACTTGCTTTTTAAAACAATCTTGTGAAAATGTTTGTATAAAGCAGATAGTTCCCCCTGTAGTTCATTTACTTGATAAATTTAAATAGTCATATTGGGTCTGTCTGCAGCAGAAAATTGAATATTTCACCATCACCTCCTTCCTTTACATGTGGCTTAGCAGCTACCGCCTGCTCTGAAAGGATTCCCTCCAAGTGTGCAGCTAGCTCCAAACCAAAGTACTCAGGACCGTGTGTGTCCAGGCCAGTTTATGAATATAACCTCCAGATGGCAAAAGGAGAAGATAGGGAGCTTCTGATGTTTGAAGGGAATCCATTCTTAGTAGCCTCTTCTGTGCTGGGCAGCCTGGGACTAGCGTTTTTAAGAAAGCAGAATTTTCAAGCAAACTTTTATTGGGTATTAAATTAAATTACATTAAATCAAACAAAATCAAACATTTATTAGTTGATTATGCTAGGCACAATGCGAAATTCCTTTGTTCTTGAGGATCTCAAAATCTAGTAGGATAGACAGACAAGTAAGCAGGAAAAAAACACATGTAAAGTGTGATAATGTCAGGACGGCTGTAAGCACAAGGTTCTGTTGGAAACTTGGAAATGAAAAAGGGAACATTTTAACCCAGCCTGGAGATAGGGCCGGAATGATAGGTTAATGCAACCTTAAGCAAGTTCAACAGGCACTTTATCGAAGGTTTTACACTCTAGTGAAGGGGTTCAGAAAAGGCCTCCCCAAGATGTGCCACTTTGGCACGTGGGATGTTTTGAGCTCAAGGCAATCGAGACCCTGGGAGCCCAAGAGAAACTTTTACCTCTCCCTTAAAGAATTTAAATTGGGGACTTTGGCCATAATAAGAATTATCACCAGAAATAAGTTTTATGACGTATCTGTATGTTTACAGGGAGGGCAAACCTCTAATTACTGAACATCTTCTCTTCTTATTGTGGTAGATCAAAATTGGCCACCGTGAAATAAATCTCTTTACCTTGACTATTTTCTCTGACGGACATTTGACCTCCCCCACTAACTGCCTAAAGGAATTTAATTCTGGCAGACTGGCAGGGTCCTCGCTAAGTCCATTCTTATCAAAGTTCTGTTTACCAAAACATTTACATTTGTAAAGCTATCTCCCTCTTTGTCCTGGGAAGTGGGGGGGATGGACTTGTCTCTGGAAACTCTTATCAGTACAGAAGGAGAGGACTTAAATCTACATACTCTTGATTACTGTGATTTCTGTCTCTCTGGCCACGTTCTCTATAGGTGGCCCTGCAAAGAATTGTCTGACAAACATTTACATTTCCCTCTCCAAGTAAATTGTCTTCTTCCCCTCTGAAATCCCAAACCACTACCACCCCCAACATCCTCCTTTGTCTTTAGCTGAAGATGGTATTTAAGACGAGAATCTCTGCCATTGTGTTGAGAAACTCAGTTTCCCTGGTTTCTCCTGTGTATACATGTTATTAAACTTGGTATTCTTTTCTCCTGCTAACCTGTCTTTTAATTATTTGGCCAAGCCATAAGAACCTTAAGAGAAAGGGCAGAGGGTGGGGATTCTCCCTCTTCCCTGACGTTATCATTCTGTGAATACCCTCCTCCCCTCTGAAGCCTCAGGCCCCTGTGCCGTTCCTTATATACCATATATACCTCATTCTACCTTTTTGTCTCTGAACCTCTCACATATGTGAGGTCTCTGACTCTCTCATGTATGTGGGGTTTTTGTACGTATGGAATTAAATTTGATTATCTCCTGTTAATGTCTCATGTCAATTTAATTCTTAGACCAGCCAGAAAAACCTAGAAGAGTAGAGGAAAATTTCTTCCTCTCCCACGCTAGCTTCAGAGCACCCAGCAAATCTAACCACAGCACCATCTAGAAAGTTATGTTGTTTCAATTTTTATGAATGATTAAAATCTCCTGACAGGTGGCTCCTGCCACCACCACACAATCCAACATTAAGGTTACTGAGCATAACTGACTGTATCCTATCAAGTTGAACTTTATGCTAATGATCTCATCTCTTACAACTTCCAGCCTTAGAGTTGAGAATCTATCTTTTCTCATACTGTCTCATTCTTCCACACCCTTATCCTCAGAATGTTTATGCATATATTTAATCCATGTTTTTAATAAGCATTCTCTCCTTTTTATGGGCTGCAAATTATTTATATGGAGAATAGGGACCTAAGAATCAGTGAGTGCATGATATACTTAAAAGAAAAAAGGGCTATGAACTGTGATTTTATAAATCAGTTTATTAGCCACAGTAGGTAATAATATGGCATTGATCCATTAGCATTTGTAAAACATTGATGTCTCAAAATATTAGAAAGTGAAATAGTGTTATTACAGCATGAAAGCCTTATATAAAATATTGACCCCCCTTTAGCTTGATTGTTAACTGGTTTTTACATGGAAAGGCAAATGAAGATTTTCCCACTATTTTGGAAAAAAGTGCCTTTTGACCTAAATTATTCTTCCTTCCCCTTGTATATACAAGAAGATGCCCTAAAGCTCATCCTATGCATTGTACCAAATATAATATTGTTTGAGCATCCATGTTGAAAGGTAAGCCACTGAGTATGCAAGGGATGCCTAGGAAAAAGCAAGATGTTTTCAAAGTGAACAAGATAAATAAGAACAATGGTCAAGAGGAAGCCATGGCAACAGCAGTGTGGATTAGACAAGGACTAATTTGATCCTTTGAGATTCACATGAAGCTGAAACATGCTTTGAAGGGAGCTTTTCTTCAACCTCACAAGTTTACAGATCTGAGAACTGTTTGATATATCAAACATAAATGCAATCAAGGAGGTAACTACATACAGTGCCAAATTTCATGTGAGACTGAGCACGTTCAGAGAGTAACAAACATCAGAAGAATTTGTGCTTGAAATAGGATGTTATTTTTATTTTTCTGCGAGGAAGATCAGCCCTGAGCTAACACCCATGCCAATCCTCCTCTTTTTGCTGAGGAAGACTGGCCCTGAGCTAACATTCGTGGCCATCTTCCTCCACTTGATATGGGACACTGCCACAGCATGGCCTGACAGGCAGTGCGTCGGTGCACGCCCGGGATCCGAACCCGGGCCGCCAGCAGCGGAGCGCGCGCACTTAACCACTACGCCACAGGGCTGGCCCCAGGATGTTATTAATTAAAAAAAAATTGTCAAAACCAGAGCTAGTGCCTGCAGCTCGTCGTGGGACACAGTGTTGACATCAACATGCAAGAAGCATATAAGGGCATCAAATGGCCCCCAAATGACATTAATCCCCTGAATTAATGAGACACTGACATTTATAGAGTATGTCATTTGTGTTTTGACCTATAGCCAAACCAGGTGCATATGTAAGTATTTTAACACATTTGCTAATTGGTAGAAGAATTTTGACAGTTTTTTTACGAAAGCATAGTTGTTAGTTTTTTTAAGCAATGAAGTTAATACTAATGATTTTCAAAAACATTCGTTGTTTAAGAAAAGAGAGAATGAAATATTTCAGCTAATTTTTAAAATATTTTAATTAACATTGAATTTTTAAGATTAAATGACATTTTAAGAACTGCATACTCTAAAAATGATGTTCTATTAACTTGTTTTTAACTTGTCTTTAAAAATATCAGTACAAGAGTTTCTCATTAGTTTTTTAAGCCTCAAAGAAGTATTTTTTTGTGTATTAGAGTAGTGTCACCCGACAATTTGTAGCTGCATTTGGGCTCTAATGCACACAGCTGTTGTGCTTAGAGAGGGGATAGGAGATTTTTTAGTCAACTGCAGCCCCATTAGATAGAGATAATGTGGGAAAGTAGTGTCCTGATTCATACCATCTGCCCTGTATTACAGGTAGGTTGGGTTCCAGTCCTCACGG